CACTATTCTCAATGAAAGAAGAAAGCTATACTTATATATTGTAAACTGTCTGTCAAATTCACATATCCACTCTCAGTTACTAGTACGGGCAATTTTCGTGACGCCGAAATCACCTAGTCTAACTTCCTAATGCTCGGCTGCCACTGGGGTATTTGTCATCTCTGTCGACAAACTAATATTCTCTGAAAATCCACAAAAGATGAAAGACAGCTCTAGATTTTTAAGATTACAATTCTATTCACCAAACTACTGCAGTTTATTAGTATCTATGGCACTAGCTAACAGATGCTAAATTTGATTACTAGACTTAAGCATAGCTATAAACCCTTGATCATTAAACAGGAAAAAATTAAACGTTCTTAATTTGAAGTTTACTCTACAAAGCGACTATATGATTAAAATAAAATACTATTTCTAAAAATTCAAGCTTCGTTGGATAATCTAAGACTTTAAAAAGGCTGCTATCTTCCTGCTATTTGTTACCCTCATGAAAAAAAAAAAGAAAAATAGTGGTAAGGTAGTTAAACGTGTAACCCAATTCTAGCTTTTTCACAAAACTACAAAATTACAAACTAAAACCTCGATTCTCGTTTTATGTATATTATTGCAATGGCACATTGCGGCTCACAGTAATTTGGCATATCATGTTAAGTTTTACCATTTATTAAGAGACGGTCAATTTTCAAAATGCAAACACTTTGAAGAAAAGGCAAAGTGTCATACTCAAGAAAAGTATTCATTTCTGTTTGACCTCCATCTTAGTCTGTATTCAAGCTCTCTGTCTTCACTGGCATATAACACAACATTGCATCTTCATCAGTTTGTGCTAAATTTTTCCAGTCATTCAAACAGATCTGGTACACCTCTCCAGGTGGAATTCTAATGCCAACATCAACAGGAAATTTATTGACCATAAAATACACCCTCCTTTCTATTTCCACGGCACCAAGGTTGTTTTGGGGGAATATGTTTCTGTTCAACAACAGACCAAATGTTGTTTTCCTCGTCATACACTTCAACAGAGGCTGAAGGATACAGGGAAGGTCCAGCACCCCCAGCGACATAGAGCCTGTTANTGTTCAACAACAGACCAAATGTTGTTTTCCTCGTCATACACTTCAACAGAGGCTGAAGGATACAGGGAAGGTCCAGCACCCCCAGCGACATAGAGCCTGTTATTAATCACAAAAAGGCAGGAGTCATAGTAAGGATGGCAGGTTGAGGACTGTTGCTTCCATTTGTTCGTTTTTGGGTTGAAGCAGTGCAGTACAGCTGCCTTGTCTGCCCAAACCTGAGAATTATTAGAACTTTCAAATGCTAATGAGGTAGACCCTGCTTTAGGCAATGAACCCTCGGTAGGAAATGCAGATTGGACAGACCCCACCCGAAAGTCTGAACCCTTGTTACGACCTGCAAATGGGGTAGGTGCGGTCCCAAAACGCGCCCCAAACAATGAAGCACCGGTAGATTGGGAAATCGTGGTCCCACATCCAGTAGAAGTTGCAGATGTAGCAGACCTCACCCCAAGGACTGAACCAGTGGTAATAACTGCAGATGGGGTAGTGGCCCCAAACAAACCCCCGCTAGAGACTGCAGATGGGGGAGATGCGGCCGTACGCAGTGAACTACGGGTAGATCGATGGGGCAGCCGAGACCTTAAATCCAAACAGTGGTCTCTCTTCAGCTGTCTTAAGACCGTGAAGAACATATATATATATATATATGACTTCCAAACTGTGGCTGTTGCATTGGTCAGTCGGCTGTTTGGATCATCAAACTCTTTCTTAAGAAAACCTAAACTAGCCCCACCTTGCCAATTATTCTTAGCTGGGCTATACTTAAACGATACGCAGGTTGATGCACCGCTAATTGCATATAAAAAGTCATCAAGAAAACACAGAGAGTCAATCTGCCTGTTACAGAAGTCACTATGGCTTAGAATTGAGGAGAGTGTTTCCCACGAGTTGCTAACTGTGTCATATCGATAGTTGACAAAATCATTCGCCTTCTTTGCAGCTACATACAAGTAATCGCCAACATACTCTGCGCAAGAGCAATCTGTTGCCTCAGTTAATTGTGCCATGGATGGAAAAGGTTTCCACGTTTTGGCTCCATCATCAAAATACTGCATCTGAGCCTGAGGGAGAATGGCAACAAGAACCTAAAATGAAGCAAGTTCAGCACGTTTTAGTACGTTAACATAACAGGACAATATAAATAGTGGTACTAGCTTATCAATTCTAATTCATGATACATTTAGGATGTTGCACGGGCAAGCGTGTTTATATTCGGTTTCGTGCTGATACTTGTTTGATTCTGTGACTTCGCGTACGAAAATTCTTCGGCCAAATTGTAGCCTGTATCTTAGTACCCCAGAGGATAACATTTTCTTACCTGGATCGAAGACCCTTGTTTGTCTTTCCCTAAAGTAAACTCAGAACTCTGCCTGACTCGTTGCATCTCTGCTGCATTCAACGAGGGAGTTGTCCCTTCCCCCGTCCCCCGCCACATTAACACCCCCTTTGGGATAAGAGATATTTAACGTCTCACTAGATGAGTTGTTCCTTTTCTTACCAGCTTCATCGATCGTGGTTTTACTTTCTCTACGGCAAAATTGTGCGAAGGACTGTTGTTATAGACTAACACTTGAAGCAACTGCATGGCAATCTCTGAATCTCGTTGCATTTCCTCTGTATCCAGTTCTTCAATCAAAACCTTGGTATCCACCAGGCCCAGACGAACAGCTCCGATAACTTTGGCTGCAACTGCCATCCTCTCTTCCTTCTTGTGTTTAATCCACTGCATCACTGATTTGAAGACGAACGTCTYCGAAGGTGCATTGAGGTCATCTCGATTGAGGAGACTAAATAGTTCATTTGCGCCAAAGTGAGAACGAAATTCTTCGCTTTCACAAATCTCCTGATACATCGGTGCCATCTTTTTCTCCGCTGCTTCTTGCAGATCTTTCAGACCGTGTCTATCGGCAATTGTCCAAACTCGACAGTACGTTTGAACATCAAACCGAAGCTGGACAAACTGGATCAGCATGAAATCACAGCACAGTTTAGCAACACTTCCCACTTGAAGATGATCTGCTGCGGCAAGAACTTCAAACACGTTTTCCTCGTTGAC